GCCCTTGAAGATTGTTGCCCAGGGTACAGTGAAGTGTTAATCTGGCTTCTTCTAACTCAAGAGGTCTTTCGGATGAAAGACGAAACATTTCTACAATTTTTTTTTGTTTTGTTTTTTTTGTCAGAGTTTTGGGTATAAGAGTAGACATCTTCTGGAACATTTGATTGACTTTGTGTGAGAGAGCTTTAATGGTGAAGTGGATCAGATTATCAGAATCAGAATGCCTTTATTGCCTTTATACACAAGTACAATGAGATTGAGAGCCACTCCTTTTTCAGTGCAAACATGCTTCAAAAACACACCTAAAAATATATTTAAAAAATATAACGCAATATAGCACTATGTAAGTAAAAAAATAAAAGTATTTCACAATTATATAAATTTGAATATTGCACATTATGGATATTAGTGAGGTAATTAAGAGGTAAGGTAATTAAGAGTACGAAGTGTAGTATTGCACAATAGAAGTCCAGGGGTTTGGGAGGTTAGATTATTAAATCAGTGCATATGTGAGTTCAGTGATGTAATGACTTTTGGGGAAAAAAAACTGTTCTTGAATCTGTTCTTGTTCTGATGCACCTGTAGCGCTTCCCTACAAGTCAAACAGTTCAAAACTCGGGTGTGAACTGTCCTTGATTATTCTTTTTGCTCTGTTGAGGCAGCGTGATGTGTAAATGTCCATCAGGGAGGGGAGAGGGCAGCCAATTATCTTTTGTGCTGTCTTGACTACTCTCTGAAGCCTCTCCCTGTCAGCCAGGGGGCAGCTGCCGTACCATACTGAGATACAGTATGTCAGCAGGCTCTCGATGGACGAGCGGTAGAAGGTCAACAGCAGTTTGGTGTTCAGGTTGTGCTTCCTAAGGACTCTCAGGAAGTGAAGCTCTGCTGAGCCTTCTTGATGACCACTGTGGTGTTCTCTTTCCAGTTAAAGTCAGCAGAGATAAGGATGCCGAGAAACCCAAAAGTGTGAACCTTCCTACCTGTTTCTCTAATCCTCTTACTAAGCAGCTTGTTCTGGACTTCCAAAGTGTCTCTTAAAGTGTCTCTTAAAGTGTCTCTTTTGCTCCATGCCCCTTGAATGTGGAGTTGAGTCGTATGCTGTTGGGGATGAGTCTTTGTTGTCTGCATATCAAACTGAAACAAAGATGGTTCCTGTAATATGTGAGCTCCCTTGACATCTTCTCATACTCACCCAGTGACTGTTGTCTTCAATTAATTTGACTTGATGCAAAATAAAAGGCAACTAAATAACATTTATCAATATGAATATACAAAATAAATGAAATGTGAAATATTCAATCCTACCTTCTCTGCTAGTTGAGTGCTAGTGTTAAAAGTAATGTTTGACACTAAGTAAATATGCCAACAGCTTGCCATTTCAAAGTGCCCAATTTTTTGCCACACCTGCTTGACATATAGGCAGGGCTTAATTTGAGCTGGATCCTGTCGGAACAGGATCCGGGAACTCTCTTATTTTGACAGGGTGTTTTCCGGTAACTGTTTGCTTGGATTTGGCAACTCTCAGGCTTACTAATAATAAAGTTATGAACAAATATGACTGCCTTGAACGAATAAAACTTATAATGAATAATGTAAACCGAAAATAATTATATAAACACTAATTTTAAACACAACAAACTTACAGCTTCTTAATATCACATACGAGCTGCCTCTTCAAGTAGCGTTTCCACATCTACCCTTAAAAAAATCTCCACTCCAAAAAGAGTGGTGGAGGTGAGTTCTGAGCTAACCAGGCAGCCGCAGGCAGGCACCTGGATGTTTCACATGTGGAGTTGGACAATAACGAGCAGGGACAGAGTTGGGCTCGGTTCCGCGAGCCCGACTTACTTGACGGTTCTGTCAAGTAAGTCGGGGGGAGGATACTTGAGTGTTTACAAATGTAGGTTAATGTAAATGTTTAATAACTCGTTAAAATACACCAAAATGCGGTAAATCACATCTACTTTGTTCAAAATTTTCTGGGAAAGGACCCCCCAGACCCCCCTCCACAACCAAACACCCGCCGGCCCACCCGCTATTGTCGTTCCTGCATCTATCAGTTTACAAATTAATCCCTGCATATAGGTATATTTGAATGGGCATGTTATTCTGAAACAGCCTTCCATGCTTTGTTTGAATTATCTTGCTTTAAATAGTATAGTCCAATAATTTTTTCTTCCTGTTATAGCAGTTAGCAAAATGTTCCTAACTAAAATGTGCTTCTAAACGGGATCTGTCCCAAATGTATTTCTCATTTAAGTCATGTACATATACAAAATGTCTGTACACGACGGTTTAGTTTAGAAAAATGTATCATGAATCTGGTCTAAGTTACTCCATATTTCTCCGAACTGAGGTAATTCAAAGAGCTGTCTACACCAGGTAAGATATTAATTGTTCATGCCTTTCCACAGAATCATACATTGTGATTTCTTACAAAAAATAAGCTTCACTAGAACAAAGCTGTGAAAACATCTTTGTTCTTAGCTTTTACATGGGTAACTCCTCCTGCACTTTGTGTTGGCACTTTTAGCTTTGACTTGGAATATGTATAATATTTTTACTAACTTGCTGTTTTACATTTGAAATATTTATTTCTACACTGTCGGCAGTGAAACCTCTAGCTGCTTGCTTCTGCTCTGTCCTAATTTTCCTCCGCCACAGGTAGGTCACTGCCATGAGGCTGGCTTTTATGTAAATTTAATAGGACATCAACAAGATCTTTTTTTTCTCTCTGTCTTACAAATGAGCTTTCTCAAGATAACTAAACTCATATGAGCGTCTTTGTATCTTATCATATGAGGAACACTCATTTTTCTGTTTAATTTGCTGGCTGGATTGAAAAACATCATCACATTTGCGCAGAAGAGGCTCTCGAGCTGCTCCTTCTCTCTCCGGTTTTCATTCTAATTACTATGTAAATCCATGCAGCAGGTCCTCCAGAGTCTAATCAGACCATCTCCTCCGATGGGTCACATGTGGTGCCAAAAAAGCTCCTTCCCCCGGCTTAGCTGGAGGAGCCACTCCTAAAACTGTGCATGTGTTCACACGAGTGTGAAGCAGGACGCAAAAATAAAAACCTGGGTCAGAAACTATTTAAAGTCGCATCAGTGATGTCAATGCGCTGACGCCAGTTTGAGATGCTAAAAGCTTGTTCTTCTTTTTATTTAGTTGATCAAAGCAAAGTCACTGAAGGCTACAACCAGAATTAAAACTTATGGATTTTATTACACATTGAGGCTTTTATTACAGATTTCCCCTCGGTGTAAACCATGTCCTCTCAGGTTAAAAAGCCTTGAAACATGGGTGCACCAAGCCTCTGCTGTCTGGAGTGCATTTGTAAATGAGATTAAACTATTTCTCATTTTGACTGTCCACTTAGAGCAATGTCAAGCTGGATGTGAGGACAGATACGAAAGGCTGTGAAAGTGTGAAGAGCGCCCTCTGCTGGCCAAGCTGGTGCATCGACACAAAATATGAGTACATGCAGTATATTCTTAATGATAACAAGCAGTGTCATTTTTGAATGTTTAAGTGAAGTACTCAGCCTGTTTTTGTTTTCTACATCTCCGTTTATTTGGACGAGTCTGTGTTTAGCAGTCAGATCTCTGTGGTGCAGATTGGAGCTTCCTGTGGTTTCAGATGCTGAAACCACAGGAAGCTTTGATGCTTCCTCTGACTTGAACGACTCCATCACTACTATAGTGCATCAATAGATTTGTTATTCTGGTTATTATGGGTGTACGATAATTTCCCTCAAAATACGATAATTTTATGTCTCTAGTACGATAATCCTACATTTCTCACCTGGCAACACTGATGGGCTGTCTCTCCCTTTTTTTCCAGTTCTCAAAAGCTGCTTTTAACTATCCCAAAATGCAATTTTGGATGGTTAAAACATATTTTAAAGAGAAAGGGAGGGGTCAGTCAAGAGCACCAGAGTTGAGCTTTTTCTCTTCTGTAGAAAGAGAAAGACACGAAGAAATGATAAAGCCGATAAATGAAAATGAGGTTGATCATTTTCATTTATCCTGCAATTAACTGATTTATTGTTTATCGCGACAGGCCTAGTGGTAGTAGTTGAGACTGATCTCCAACACATACTCTGAGTGTGGACAGATTGTGGAAAATGATCATTAAAAGTTTTGCCATTTACTATATGAATACCATGAAATAATTTGTATAAGAACTTCTACAACTGAGACAACCAGGTGAAGCAAAACCAGCTCAAATGTCTGCCACAACCAACCAACCCCGGAAATCACAAAATGTGTACGATGCAGTCAGTTTTTACAGATACTGATCTAAACTTTGGTTGTAGCTGAAAGTCACAACACAAACTCCAAGAGCTGCTTGTTGTCCAGGATCTTTGCTTAACGTCTGAACAAACTGCTCTGCACTCAGAATCAGAAACACGAACATGAGTCCTGCTTCTTACGGCTTCTTTAGGCTGAAGTGTAACAGTTCCTTTCAGGATTTTGGTTTTCCATTAAACTCGTCATTAAACGTCATAAATCCTAAAATAAAACACTTGAAAATGTTTAACTTCATATCAGCCTGAAAAATGGTGAATTCAAAGGGTTATCACGAAGGCACTCATTTGTTACTTTGCAATTAAAAATGACAAGTCGGCATTTTGTTTCTTTTTTTTCCTTATTATGCAGATGTTTTTTTTTTAACAAATATGAAACAAATGAAAGATTTAGCATTCTTCAAAGTTATGCATTTCTCCTGCCACCTTTCGAACTAAAGTTTTGGACTAAAATCAGCTTGAAATGTGACCGCTTTGGTCAAACCTGAGCAAAATGTGATGGGTTCCTTTCATTAACAATTTACATTCTTTTACTTGGTTTATCAGTCAGCACATAATTTATCGCACAAATTAAAAAAAGTTAAATAAAGCGATAAGAAAAGATAAACCTTTTCGAGAAGTTTTGCATTTATTGCTAATATTTTAAAATGTTCTCAGTACAAAAATGGAAAGCTTATAATAAATGTGTTCACTGGGGGCTCTGCTGAGCTTGGTGAGTGGTGTTGGGTTGATGCTTGGACGTCGTGGGGTTGTCCACAGGTTTAGCCTGGACCTTCTCCTTGAGCTTGATTATGTTCTTGACCCACTGCTGAGACGGGTCCACACAGACTTTATCACCTTTCTTCGTTGTCAAGCTGAAACGGAGAGCAAAGCTTCAAATAACCCATCAAAACAAGGTGTTTTTACTTGATTATTACATATTTTTATAAACGCCTAAATCAGTTTGTAAAATTAGTTTAGGCATTTGAAAATATTAAAACCTTCACAAATTGGATTTTGAATTGATTGTAAAGCTGAAATTTGAGAAGAAGCGAGCAGACACCTACAGCACTCCTTCCTTCGGACACTGATGATCCGTTTTCTGGAAGCTCACCACTCGGCTCTTAGGCAGAGGATTGGAGTAGAAGCCAAAGCAGCACTCTGTTGGACTGTTGCTGCCTGAAACTGTCATGGAGACAGAAATGAGGTAAATCGACACAGAAATCATCCCACAAAAGGATGTTTTTAATCTGCTTCTTTTTTTATCCTACAAAAGAATAAACAATCACATTAGGTTTAATCATGCAAAGTACCAACATAACTAATCTACTGGTTTTTACCCTGGTCACTTGAATTTCTTTTTTATTGTTTGTGAAATTCTCTGTCACTGCTTTATCAGTAATAAAATCTCCTTTTTGACCATGAAAGAAAATTACAGCTGTGACAACAGAACAGAATGGAGTTAATTAATTTAAAAAAATAAAAAATACAAGTATTGTGCAGCCAGCTTACTTTCTTTGACCAGGACAGCGAGGGACGAGAAAAGCAAGAGGCAGGTCGCCACAGTGACGGGGTTCTTCATCATCATCATCGTCCTCATCTTGTCTGTTGTCTCTCAGAGCTGCTTGCTTGTCCCAACAGGTGTCTTCAGTCTTCTGCCTGTTTGCTCTTTGCACAGTCACGTGCTTTTATTGTGCTGCTTCTCGTGTTCAAAAACATGTTCCATGACAAAACAGAGATTTTACTCTGTAACTATCTTACCTGCAAGCAACTTGCGGTCATGTGGTCACTGCTTCTCAAAAAGTACGACACAGAGCGGAGGTTGGGGGGTGGGGGGGATACGGGGACAGAAGATGCTGTGGTTGAGACCAGATACTTAGAAACTGAAAACATCTCATTACTGCTTCAGTTCCTTTGTGCAAGTGTGTGTGTGTAAGCATTTTGCACATTTGTGCAGATGCATTGTGGCTTATTGCAACTTATCTAAGTGTTCTTTATTGTTTCAAATGATGACATGTGATAAACATATTACGTTTGGAAAAATGTCAGTTTAATTAAAATAAAACTGGTAAATCAATGATTCTTTGTGTTTATCTTATGATCAAAAGATCTTAAACCCATGAGTTGTCTTTGTTCTGCTTTGTCATTGTGTGAATGCTGCTAAGCTCTTGGCTCTTTGGTCCCTCTGCAACTAAATTTTATTGGTGGTTATACAAACAGAAAAAAGGTACTAGTTTCAGCTGTTTTCCTTCATTTCTTTTGCAAATACTCTTTATTTCTAAACTTTGTTATTTGTCCATTATTAATAAAACCACATAGGTTTGCACAGTTCTTAGTTTTTTAACTATACCTCACTCCATCAAGAATATGGTCTTTTCATTTGTCTTAAATTGTAAAAATATCAACAAATGTTAAAAATCGTTACTTATTTTAGCTTTATAATGTCACCCTTACTGGCCACAAAAGTCTTCTCAACAAACCTAAAGTGGCCCATGGGCCACCACTTGATAATCACAGTTGTAGTGGGTTGTTGTGGCTCTGGACACGTTTAATTTAGTGAATGACGGTGTAAAAATGGCTCTTTTGATCATAAAGTTTGCAGACCCCTGGTCTCACATAACCAATCAGCTGTCTTGGTCAGCTGGCCCTCAGTCTAGTGGTTCTGCACTTAATGCTGTGCACCCTTCTACCTGAGGGGAGCAGGACAAAAAGTGTGTGTGCTGGGTGAGTGGGGTCCTTCATGATGCAGGTGGCTCTCTTCCTGCATCTAGAGGTGTAGATGTCTGTGATGGTGGTGAGGCTGACTCCAACAGACTTCTGTGCAGCCTCCATGCCACACGTTGATGCTGGAGCACAGGATGCTGTCCACTGCACACCTGTAGAAGGAGGTGAGGACTGAGCTTCATGTAATTATGCATTCCTATACTAATGTGGAGAAATGAAACAAAATTGTGTTAAATTTTGCATGATGTACTGTACAATTTTGAATGACAGTCAAGTTTATAAAGTTAGTTAAAGGTTAAGTTAAAGTGCACAAACCAGCTATGGCTAGCTGCTGCTACCGCTAATAGCTCTTACAAATAACTGCAGACTTCACCGTAAATATCTAAGTAATGTACTTTGTAGATCCCACAGTTGTGAACAGGTTTATACAGAGCACTTGTCTGAACAGCTATAAAACGTTTGAAGGTGGAGCCATTTTTCAATGAGAGAACCCCACTTTAGCATATTTGCAACATTTGTTGCAATGAGGGACACCTGTACATATTAGCTAGCACCAGCGGTGCCAAGCAGTCCTAAAGGGCTGCGGAGGCTTGCCACCCTAAAATATTTAGAAACCATCTGCTAAAAATGATGCCTTTTCCAGCAAATGCATTTGCATTTTATAAATTGTTAGAATTTATCAGTGTATTGTGAATTATTGAAAGGTAGTACAATGACAACTAGCTTTTAAGATTAACTTTATCTGAAGTCAAACTTAAAAATGTCGTCACATTTATAGGTTTTACTTAAACACTGAGCACCACGAGTTTGTTGTGATTGCATCATACTGTACTTTTATCACAATATACTGCCCCATAAAACTTTATGTAGTAATGAGGCAGGTTACTCTGAGAAATTTACCAGGCAGGTAACACAGAACTAGTTGCCTTCATAAACCCAAGTAACATGTTTACATATTGTTCTACATATTAATGTTAGGGAATTTTTGGTCAAAGTTTATGGATGTTTTTAACTACTATGGCTGAGAATGTTAACTCTGCCCATGAACCATATGTTTGGGCTAGCAGAGAGAGCTGGACGAGGGGCTGGATGAGGCTACAACGTGCATCTGTTGCTCCAAGGTCGCCTCAAAGTCTGTGAGTTCGGCTGCATTGATAAGTGTATAAAAATAAGCTTTGCACACTGCCCAAGGAAGATTCTTGTGACTGGGCTTCATGCGTGTACTTCCTGTATATCTGTGTAACCTGTCCTGGCAAGTAAGCACAGGTTAAAAACTTGCTACCGTCGAGTGTGGCTCCTTTTGAGTATGTGAGATAGAGCGAGAACATTTTTCTCTAACAATTAAATCAACTATACCCAGATACAATGTTATAAAACTTTTATAGTACAATGTACAGTAAATGCTGAGTACAACACTAGTGTATCCTTAACAAAAGAACAAAAGATGCTTGAAGTGCTGAAAGAAGCTTATGTAACTAGTCTTCATCTACTTCCTAATAACTAATCCTCTAATATCCCACAGAGGACCTATAATAAAGGGAAGGGAAGTCTGAGGTTTTCACCATTGTATGTTTCCATACAATGGAAAAATTAATTTTCTGCATTTAACTCATCACACCTGAGATGAACCCAGGTGGAGCAGTGGGCAGCTAAGTAGGTGCCCGGGGAGCAATTGGGGATTGGGTGTCTTGCTCAGAGACAGAGAAATGACTGGGAGTTGAGCCGCGACTTTCTGATCTCCAGTCAGCTGCTCTTCCTCTACCCCATCTCGGTCCCCAAGAAAGTATGTTAAAAAAAAAAAAGTTAGAGCCTGCATTTTGTTTTCAAACATAAACAAAGCCCCCCCCCCCCCCCCCCCCCCCCATTTTCTAATGATGGCCACTGCAACCAAAGGTTAGATTACTCACGTGCTGGAACGTTTAGGCGTTTAAATTACCCCCACCACCACAATACACATGGTGACACACTCATACGAGTCCTCCCCCACCAACATTCACACTCTGCTCCACAAGAGACAAAAGCATCAACTTGCTTTACTACCTGCACATGTGCTTGCTTTACATATCGTCGGGACAAATCCAATCCTCCGTGGCGAAAACCACAACAGTTTCAGTTTTTCAAGCAGCTTTACTCAGCAGAAAAAATCAAAAGTGGTGTTTCTACAGCCAGGCCACAAATGAGTCTGTGCAAAGCCAGGCTGGGCCAGGCTAGTTAGGCTCGCCACTGATGAACATAATCCGGTCAAGTTCATCCAGGTGCACAGTGCTGCACCATGGTAGCCAAACTGACAGAAACTGATAAGTGCAGCCGGTACTTGTTAAATGTGGGACATTTGGGTGTCCCACCCCATTTATGCATTTTGTTGGACCAGGGGTGGAAATTCCTGGACTGTCCTGCTCAAATCAAGACAGTATGATAACTTTATGTCTGGGGATTTTGTTTCTACTATGGCTGAGAATCTTAACTGCCCATGAACCATGTGTTTGAGTTGGCAGAGAGTTCTTTTCTCTCTCAGAGCAGCATGAGGAGCCGATTTGTTTCTGCATGTGCAGCTGGGTGATCAAGGACACCAGGTTGCCTGTGAGCCGGGAGCTGATAAGTTTATAAAAACAATTCTCGCACGCTGCCCGTGGCAGATTCTCATGACTGGGCTCCACGCATGTAGAACTTCTGTACACCTGTGTAACCTGTGGTGAAAATTTGTCCTTGCAAGTAAAACCAGTTGGAAATCGTCTCGTGTCCTCGAGTGTGGCTTCTTTGCGACAGTAAAAATGAACAGAGGATATTTTTATCCAACACTTTGAACGTGTAACAGGGCAGTCAGTGATAACACAGAAGGTTTGAAAAGCAGAACGTTATCGTTGCTTGTTTCATACACATTAGTGCAGACACTTTATTCGAAACAGATTTAAATTTGCTTTGTTTCTACCAAAACAAAAAGGTTAAGAAAATTAAAATCTTTTGGGTTTAGATGTCTCTTTATGAACTGGAAATAGGAATGATGACGTAAGGCCTCTGCTGTGCCTGCCCACAAACACTTTGAGCCTCAGAAACCAAAACAAGAACAGAGCCATTTTTAACATGTGTCTGCCTCCTTCCTGACACTGTCACCATCAAAGCTTTGCTCAAATGATTATTAACAGAAAGGAAATTGTAAAGAGAGTAAAAAAAAACAGCTGGGTCCTTTTTTAGCCAAGCTAAGAATGAAGTTTTTCAGTGTTTTAATGTCTCGTATATGAACCTTTAGAGCCTTCGCTGGTGTGAAACAGCCTTCCACTCTCATCGAGTGTGTCCGCTCAGTTTTTAAAGACTCTTTTTATTTTGTTCGCTTTAATTGCATCTAATAGTGTGGACACTTTCAAGTAGTTTAGTCATTTATTTATTTTAGTATAATTACTTACTTTGTGTTTTAATATCGGTTTTCAGTAGTTGATTTGGATGATTGTGTGTTTTTTTGTTATTCTATTAGTTTATTGTATTGCACTTCGGTCAACATGCTTTATAAATAAAATTGATTTGGTGTCGTGTGGACATTCTTGCCAACTAGTTGCGTGGCATTTGCATTTCAGTGTTTTTGTAAGGATGGTTGTGGATGAGGGAAAAATGTAAATGAAAGAATAATATATCAGTCCAAAAACACGTTCAAAATAGTGCAGATGATTTAAAGAGGGTTGCAGAGTGTGAGGTGACAGAAAGTGAAGGGACATGTGCAGGAGGATGTGGTAAATGGTTTGCACCTTCTACAGAAAAACCACAATAGAAATTTCCATCTTTCTTTGGTCAAGCAAAACTTATTTTTGTTTAATTTAGTTTACCAAGATAAATCAATATTCTTCCTTTCTAATTTCAGCATTCAGTCTAGAAAAGCTACAATAGTTTTCCTAACATATAAATATATTGATAGTTGTGTCTTAAAACTCTTT